CAGCTGATGATTTCAATACCCCAGGATCTGTCTAGTCTGTCTTTTTGTGAAAGTCACCTTGCTTACACTCTGAATTTTCTGTTTAATCTTGTATATTGTTACTTTTCTAAAAGTTTTCAAAAAATACATTCTTGAGAAATTACTATAAGGATACATAGATATTTACTCTAAGACCCTGTAAATCTACTGCTGCCTTGAAAACACTGGATTATATCTATAAATAAGTTATAGGTGGAAATTCTGTTTTGAATTAGGGGCTTAAATTTAAAATTTAAGAAATGTAAGTATATGGGTGTTTTGACTGCATGTGTGTCTGTTTGATGCATACATGCAGTTTTAACAGAGGCCAGGTGTAAGCTCAGATATTCTGGAACTGGACTTACAGACAGTTGTGAATTGCTTTGTGAATGCGGGAAATTGAACCCAGGTCCTCTGGAAAAGCAACTAGTGTTCTGAACTACTAAATCATTTCTCCATAATGGAAACATTTGTGATTTTTTTTAAGATTTCAAAATAATTTGTAAGGATCATCTTTGAGCCCTTGACATTTTAAAAGTTAGTATACAGAGGATAGTTCATTGTTTGGACATATATTATTTTGTATTCATTTAGAGGTCTCTTGTTTCCAGTGTCTTTTCAGTCAGAGGTTCTTCTTGAGTGTTAAAAAGCATAACAATTACAAAATATGGCAACACAGTTTTTAAAAGCAAACTTTCCTTGACATATTCATTGTAAATAGTGATTGGTTTCATAAGGATGTTCTCATACAAGTGGAACATTTACTCTGACCATTCACACTGTTCTCCTTCTTTTCCCCCAGACAGTTTACTTTCTACTTTAGTATAAACTACATATACTATATACTTCAGTATAAATTACATATACTATATATAGTATATATCTAACATATATTGTATATTACATACACATACCACACACACACACACACAAACACACACACATATATATGTAAATGTGTGTTACTTTATTAATACAATTAAAATTTAGGCATGAAGAATTAGAGAACCATTTCAAGTGTCTTGCATCTGATGTATTTGATTTAATGGCTTCTGTTTTCATGAAAATAATTCTTTTACATGCCATTATTCCTTGCTTCAAACATGTATGTCAATAATTACATATATTTTACATGAGTAGATACATATACATCTATAATACATAAATGTAGTTATACAAATATGTTTACATATTTTTATATTTACAAAATTTCATCCCTACTAAAATTGTCCAGTTACTATTTTTCTGAGATTTCTTTTCAGCTGGACTGTTAGAGTACATTACCACATGTTAAAAAACATGCACATGTTTGTGTATCCATATTTACTTGGGTTTCATTGTATGTTTTTCTAACTATGTGATGGTTAATAAGATGATGAATGAAGGAAGGACCATGAGAACTAGCTATGGTACAGAAGAGATAGCCCCAGACTGCCAATGAGGATCAGCCTTCACTCCTTGATATTGGGCCCTCAGCTAATGCTTCCATGACAACCAATCTCCAATGGAATTAGTGTCCATGCTCCTGTGTTACAGATGGAGCAGAAAGCATAAGATGTCTTCATTAATTCCGACTATAACTAGAAGGTAATTTTCTTCGTCAATCATTAGCTCTTAGTGATGAGAAAAACTTTATGCTTAAGTGTCTCATACTCAAGTAGGGAGTCAAACAGCTTGATGTGTCTGAAGCATCCAAGACTAAGAAATTATGGCATAGTGGTGAAATAGCTTCTTTTGGATCCTTGTGAATTTATGTGATTAGATTAATGTGCACTTATAGGAGATGAGAAACACGGGAAACATGATAGTTGAACTCAGAGAAGACACTCAGCACTCTTAAGAACTTCATTTATTGTTCTCCTTCTCTTCTGTTCTTAGGATCATCTGAGAATATGAGTGCATCATAGAGCATGCCCAAACAGAAGGCAGGTGAATAAGGAAAAATCTCAGTTATGGGATGGATCCAAATAGTTGACATCTAATAATCCTCAGGTGAATTTGTTCTTCCCTACCTTATTTTGACCACAACCACAGCCTCAGAGAGCCAGGATAACACAGTGGAGAACCTCATCAGGATGAGGATGGATACCAAGGTCATTGTGTTACATGGGATTCTGCTATTTGAGACTTGTCACAGCCAGTGATAGCTCCAACATGCAACTGGAAGGTGAACTAGACAGACAGCAATGCATCTGTAGTTCCAGGGACTTGGAAAAATATGAGGATTCAAGATGATATGGTAAGAAAATAGAGTGCATATGTTGGGGATCTGCTCTCAAAGACCATTCCATTGACAGCATGATTTGAGTGCAAGGAAAAGGTCTTTGTGTTAAGATGAAGAGTTTTCCCCTACTGAAAGTTATATGTTTACATCTACTTGTGGACTTTTGCTTACCAATGCCTCATTTCTTCTCACTTCATGAGATGGGGGAACATCCTTCACCATCAAGAATGGTTTTGTCCTTATCTCTGTTTGTCCTCTGCTGCTTTCTCCCACTTTCATCTAAACTTTTCCAGTATTTTAAATTACCACATTCCCATCTGAATTATGATCTTCCACTTTTTTCCTGCTGAGAACAGTATTAACTCAATAACAATAATTGTAATCATAAACAAAAATCCAGAATGAGTCCCCCACCTTCCCCCTCCAGTGGGGTTGCACAGGGCTGGCTTTGGCAGAAGGCAGAGCAGCAGAAGCCCACCCCTGCCTTCTGACTCCAACCTCTCAAAGAGTGCATGGGGCCAGTGGGCACCACAACAATGAACAAATGAACAATGGGGAGGTGAGAAAGATGGAAGAGTGTAGCAGTGCTTATACAGTGGAGAGAGGTGGAACTGGAAATATGATGGTGGTAAAAGGTGTGAAAGATGGATGAAGTTGATAGTAGAACAGGAAATTGCCCAGTGTCGTCAGTGAAGGGGACTCTGCCTTGAGCTTATGCACACACAGACTCAGTCCCTGAACATACTGCCCAGCCTCAGGATTAGCTTCTTTGGGCAATGAGGGGTCCAAGATGGGGAAAGGCTTACTTTCTGGATTGGACCTCCTTGAAAGACCATCACGGTCTATGATGCCACGGAGGGTCAGGTATGGGTCAGTGGTCCTGATCCATCCAGGGACTTTCTAGATATCTGTGGCCTGTATCACCACACAACACCATGTGGACATCTGCAATCTGTGCCTTGACTAAGGCCATATTGATGTCCATGGTCTATGTTGCCTCCAGGGTCACATGGATGGTGCTGCAGTCTGAGACCATGATGCTATCTAGATTTCTGCTGCCACTAAGGGCCATAGTTTGGTCCAGAGTCCTACTGCACCAGGGTCTGTGTTGATGTCTGTGTGGCCCATGTTGCCACCAGAGGCCATATAGATGACCATAGTCTGTGCTACAACCTGAAGCCATGTTGATATTTGTGGGCCAAGATGCTGTCAGGGGCCATACCAATCTAGGTGGCCTGCAGTGAAACCTGAGGCCATGGTGATATCTGGACTAGTCCTGTCACTGAGAGTCATGTCTGGATCCATGGTCCTAAAGAGGCCAGGGTCTGTGTTGACCTCCATAGCCAATGTCAATTTCTGAGCACCATGCAGATGCCCATGCTCTAATCTGCACCCTGAAGCCACGCTGATGTCTGTGGGCAGTATTACCACTGAAGGCCATATTGATATGAGTTGCCTATGATGTCACCAGAGGTCATGTTGATGTCTGTGGTCTGGGCTGCATTTGATGGCCTTGTCTGGGTCCATGGTCCTACTGCAGCTGAGTGCCATGTTTGTGGTATGTGCTGTCACTAGAAACCATGAGGAAGCCCATGATCAGAGCTAAAGATGAATGAAAAGTGCAAGGAAGCTACTTTGAGAGTGATATCAATGATTTCATATGTATAATTGAGAAAGAGGAATATGGAAGGCTTCTATGATAACCCCTATATCCCCAACACCCCCCCCCAAATTAGTAGCCTAAAAAGGAAGTCATTAATGAAAAATCTTAAAATTATGACAGGAATGTTGAGGTCTAGCTCTCCACAATTGATGGCTTCTGGTGGAGGTGCAGATTGAGAAGTACTCAATTTTCTTTAGGGGACAGGCAATTGTGAGTTTGACCATGCTCCAATGAGTGTAGCAACAACACAAATTGGACTTGTTTTTATTATCATTATTTGGGTGGGGGGGAAGCCACAAGAGCAGGGGGACAGACTTGGAAAGACAGAGAGGTGAGTGTGATCAGAGTGTAAAGGGCAAAATTCCTAAGAGTCAATAAAAATATTAGTTTATAAAAAAGGAAGTAACACAGATGGGTCTTTTCTGCTACAGGCCTAGTTTTGGGTGCATTTGCCTCCATGTGTGAAATTATTTGCAAAGCACATAATTTCACTGTGACCAGTTACTTCGCACATCTTAACCTCTGGGCTCCATCCATAGTGTTGTCTGCTTACATTTGTCTTTTCTGTGATTTATTTTTCTGGTTTGCCTTTATTAATAAATCCACCATAAATACTATCAAAAATTACATTGTTTAAATTTTTAAGAAAAAAGTCTAGAATGAAAAATAAGTAACCTGATATGAATTATCCCATAAAGCTCTTGCTGGAAGCCTCAAATCTTTCATTTTAACATACATTCATTGTGTGATTTCTCTTAAAATGGAAAGGATTGTCATCAGCACACCAGAGTTAGAAAGAACTCACTGGTGGGACACTGTTTTCACAGCTTTGAAATCATCTTTTAAAAAACAAAATTCTTATGACATGATTCCTAATTACTTTCTACATTCCCTTTATCACTCTTTGGAAAGCATTGGCTTATTATGGGTAGTTTGGAGAATAGGGAGTATGTGTATGAGTGGGCATATCCTATGGTATATCTGTATGCTGTGGATATTGCTTTGTATAAACAAAATGCTGATTGGCCAGTAGCCAGGCAGGAAGTATAGGCGGGTCAAGCAGAGAAGAGAATTCTGGGAAGTGGAAGGCTGAGGCAGAGAGACACTGCCAGCTGCCGCCATGACAAGAGAGATGTAAGGTACCGGTAAGCCACAAGCCACATGGCAACTTACAGACTAATAGAAATGGGTTAATTTAAGATATAAGAACAAGTTAACAAGAAGCCTGCCTCAGCCATACAGTTTATAAGTAATATAAGTCTCTGTGTGTTTACTTGGTTGGGTCTGACCAGCTGCAGGACTGGCAGGTGAGAGAGATTTGTCCTGTCTGTGGGCCAGGCAGGACCAGAAACTCTCCAGCTACACCTGTAGAAATCAGAGGTTTCAATTCTCTCTTCTCTTATATGGATTCCTTGGAACCAGTCCCATGTCATTAGGCTTGGCAGTAAACACTTTTATTCACAGCTTTTTTAAAATTTTATTTTATTTTACAATACTATTCAGTTCTACATAACAGCCACAGATTCCCTTGTTCTCCCTCTTCCTGCCCCCCTCCCCTTCCCCCCAGCCCAGAATGAGCTATTCACAGCTTTTTACTTTTTGTGGCTAAACTGTCTTAATTGTGGTGGTATTGTATTCCCCAAAATATTGTGCACCCTAATAAACTTATCTGGGGTCAGAGACAGAACAGCCACAATATTAAACATAAAGGTTAGGCAGTGGTAGCACACACCTTTAATCCTAGAATTCCAGAGGGAGAAATCCATGTGTTCAAGGATACAGCCAAGCATGGTGACTCACTCATTTAATCCCAGAAAGCGAGCCTGTAATCCCAGGGAGTGATGGTAGAAAGCAGAAAGGTATATAAGGCATGAGGACCAGAAACTAGAAGCATTTGGCTGGTTAAGACTTCAGGCTTTCAAGCAGCAGTTCAGCTGCGATTCATTCTGGATGAGGACTCAGAGGCATCCAGTCTGAGGAAACAGGATCAGCCGAGGTTCCTGTGAGGTGAGGTAGCTGTGGCTTGTCTGCTTCTCTGATTTTCCAGCTTCAGCCCAATACCTGGCTACAGGTTTGATTTTATTAATAAGACTCTCTAAGATTCATGATACACTTAATGCCAAATTTAATATCACATTTTTTGAAGTTCAAACGTGATAGATAAAGCTGGTGATAGACAAAGACATAGTGTCATGGACTTTCATTCTCACTTGTGGTCAGTCAGAACTCCCACAGGGCTGACAAAGGTAGAGAGTTCAAAGGTAGAAAACTGGAGAAGGTCCTGGAATGTGAGTATCTGACCTCACATTGAGACAATCACAGTCCTCATCATTCCTACCAAGAGTCTGCAGGTTGTCAAGGTAACAGAATCCTAGGACATAATTGTTCTTGTGGATTACTAACGTACCAACAAGAGTCTGGAGACCATAGACATGACAGAATCCTGGGTCATGATCTCTTAGCTTTTAATTCTAGCATCTGGAAGGCAGAAATAGGCAGACGTTTATGAGCTCAAAGCCAGGTTGGATTGCATACACATGAAGAAGCCAGAGAAGGACATTTTGTAACTCTTTTTTGTTAGTTTTCACCTAATTCAGTGAGACAAGGTCTCTCTGTAGGGTGAAAAGAGCCAAGGAAAATCACTGTCACTGACTAGAATCAAGACCTGGGCCAATGAAAAACACCCTGACATGTCTTAACCACAGGACCAAGGCTTGAAATCCCACCAATCCCTGAGATTGCCCCAGAGTCAGGTTGCAGAATCCCACCAATCCTTGAACACAGAATCCCACCAATCCCTGAGATTCCTTAGCATGGAATCCCACCAATCCTTGAGCTTGCCCCAAAACCAGGCTACAAAATCTACCAAGCTACCTTGGAAATCTGCCCCCCACCAAGTCCAAGAAACCCTACATAAGCTCTGTACCCTTTTCAGTTTGCTTTTATTTCCCACCCTAGAGGCAGTCATCCTCCTGGATTTTTTCCTCCTGGATAAACAAATCTCTTGAGTGAGGTTTGTTGTGCAGTGTGACACTTCCACAGGAGCAGAGCCTAGCTGTAACAGCTTTTAAGGGAGCCAGAGCCAGGTAGAACTGTAACACTTTTCCTGGGTAAACTTTGCCCTAGGGGAGCAGAGCTGTAGCACTTCCCGGGACCTGAGCAGAGCTGTAGGATTTCTCAGGAGAGGAACAGAGCAGAGCTGTAACAACTTAAATGGGGAAACCAACCCCTGATTTAGCAGGGTTGTTAAACTTGCATTTCCTCAGAGCAGAGCTGTAAGCTGCTACACTTATAGGGAACCTTTCCATCTGAGCTGCAAAGCTCACATTTGGTTCCCCCTTCCTTCTCTCTTCTCCCATCTTTGCTCTGGAGTTGCCCATCATCCCATAGCTCCTCTAGGCCCTTGTGACATTTGCAACCCAATTCCTGATCCTTTCCTGTGGATGAGACCATCCTATAGAGATCAGTTTTTTTCTTTGCCTTCTGGCCTTTACAAAGCACTGGTACCAGGTGCTGAGCCAGTCCTCTGGTTTAGGCAGACTAAATCCCTGAGCCCCACTGAGTGTGGTTTCACATATGGTGATGATACACTTAGTGGCTTGGTCCTTGTTTGGTCCTCTTTGAATCCTGGGAATGTCTGTGACTATAGGCTGCAATGACATTTCCCCTCTTTCATGGCGTCTTCCATACTATCTCAATCCCCTCGGGATGCTTCTTAGAAAATGTCCAGCCTGTACACCTGGCACCTGACCTTGAGGAACCTAAATTTATTTGTTTCTGCAATCAAATTTGGCATCAATATTCCTTACAATCAATCCAAATGCCTAGCTAATGGTACCCTAGGCCCTAACATTATTTGGAATCTTTACAGCTAATGTGAGTAATCAGAAAAATTGAAAGTATCCCTATTCTGTACATTCAAGCTATATCTTTTCTCTACTTCTATCCAAATTTGTTTTGTTTCTAGCCTTATGAACATATGCACTGTGTAAATGTCCAAAGTTACTATTGCTGTATCAGTAAGTTTATTGTAAAGTGGGAGCTGGAAGCTGGATGTAGTAGGAGGGCAGAAAGCAAAGGAGTAGGCCAGCTGCAGTATGCTCATACCTGGCACATACTCCTCCCTGGCTGGTGCATCTCTCAGCTCCTTCCTTCAGTGTCCTCTGTCTATGACTAGGACTTACAAATTTCCTTCTAACCCTTTATTCTTCTCAGCTTACTGGATTCAGTTTTACAGGGACGTAGGTGTCTTGTATGTGTGAGTGACGTGAGACTGTTGTTTTATGCTATCTCACTTCAGTCGAAAGCTTATTCTGGAGTTGGGGTATGTCTCCCATCCTCTATACTCAAGTATTTTTGTTTAAAAGATTTCCAGACATATATCAGCCTAGCCAGCTGCTGTTTGACAGAGAAAGGAGAGTGAAACAAAATAAAGGGTATAGACTCTTTCCAGCGGGGACTATTGCTGTTAATCTCATACACTTTTGGTTTTGTTATAACTCTTTAAAACGTTTGCTAAGGTATAAATATTACCTAAAGATCTACAAGCTTATTAGGTAAGGTTACAAATCTGAAAAATCTATAACATTGGGGTTGATAGTTAAAAATCTATATATAGGTAATCTTAATGGAACCATGTGGTGTGATGCTAAAGATAAACCAACGGGGGAGGAAACAACTCCTAGCTATGAAGCCCAAACCAGATGATTCCTCCAATCTTTTCAATCACACTAACAAGCATCCCCCTTATTGTACTCAGCCCACAATCCCTTCTCTTCCTCTCCAGCCTCTCTGGTTTTCCTTTTTCCCTTCTCAGCAATAGTCTGCCCACCCAGTCAGGGCTTAGTACATGATATTAATGCAGAGTACTCAACTATCATGTATAAGGCCTTGTTCTATGTTAACTAATCGAGTATCCAATATATAGCCCAATCTTACAACCTCACTTTCCATGATGTTTACATGAGTCTCACCAAGAATCTTCTTCCAGGGGAGCACAGAAAAGTCTGGGGACAGACCAGGGCCCATGCACATGAAATCTCCCAAACTGAGAACATCCACCTAGTTGGAGCTAGGGCAATCTATGACCACGACCCTGAATGAGATTACAATACCCCAGGGGACACACTAGCTAGG